TTTTAGGCAAAGGGAACAACATATATCAGAAGTGGTAGAAGAAATAATAGCTATGAAACTATATTTTCAACATTTAAAATTCCTTAATGGTTTTAATTTCATACACATCACTTATTTTGCCACATTTTCCCTGGTGCTTAGAAACAGTAGGATTTCACAGCATGGCAAAACTGCTTATTAATGCTGAGACTCATCACTAATACATCATCAGGGTAGTGCTCTCAACCTGGTCTAATCCCAGAAAGAAAATGATAGGTCATTATCTGGCTAATTTGATCATTATAATTGTTTTGTTTCAACAAATATTTATTTATTAACATCTCCTCTGTGCCAGACGTTGTCCTAGGTGCTAGATGCTGGGAATATAAAGATTTGACCACCATCCTTGAAAGCAACAAGCTGGAAAGGAGAGAGATCCTTAGATAATTTCCATACATGTGGCAGGAGCAAAGAAAAAGGTATGCAAAGGGTAATAAAAGAACACAGAGGAAAGGGCACCCCCAACCCAACCAGGGCCAACAGTGTAAGAAGTGATTTTACACTAAGACTGGAAATGAGCAGGAGGAAAAATAGGAAGAGGCTCTAAGGATGTTCAGAAACAGAATGAATAAAGATTTCAAATTTAAAACTACTAGTCTTATATGGCCTAAGAATAAAGGGTGTACATAGTGGGGCTGGGGGGAGTGCAGTGGTAGACAAAATAAATAGGTTAACAGAGATCAGATCATAGAGGATTCTGCATACCATGCTAAGACTCCTGGATTTGTCTTTTGGGAGAAAGCAGAACAGCTTAGTGTTAAGTGTTTGAAGCAGAGTGACCTGAGTTCCAATCCTAGTTTTATTATTGACTAACCATAAATCTTATGAATTACCTTCTTTGAACTTCAGTTTCTTCCTCTGCAATTGCCACTGTTATCAGCAGTTATTAATGAACTACCCAGGGCTAACATTTTCACAAGGGAATGGGTATATCAATGGAAAAGAACAAGGCAGGAAAACCAGTCAAACCATTATATTAACTAAGGCAGTAACAGAGGTTTCACCTAGCATTTTACCATCAAGAATGGAGAAAAGTAGATCCAAATATTATTTAGGAAGAAAACTTGTCAGTTCCCTCAGTGACAACTGAATGGAGAGGAAAAGTGGTTCCCAGTCATCCAAATAGTGGCCCAACCAAAATAGGAAATCAAAGAGGAAAATCTAGCTTGGGGCAAGATAAATGTAGATGCCTGTGGGAAATCTTGACAAGTGGACATAAATACCTGCAGTTGTGAGCTGGAGATAACTGCTTTGAGCCAAAGTTTATTACTTTATGCTGAGTAATGCAGAACGGCTTATAATGATTTTTCCCCTTAAAGTTGAAACTGAGACATTAAAAAGAAACTCACTACTTAAAATGACAAGCACTACATAAAATTATATCCAAATCAAACCAAAGGGTTCCTATAACTTTGACAGACTGTAATATGTAGATTCACCCACAATACATGTCCCTAGTCCTCAAAAAGTCATTGACAAGGACAGTGTTGTAATAACACTCATCTGTCCCAGGCACATGCTGGCAGAAAGCTCCAAAAGTAACAGCCTGAAATTCACATAATACAGCACTTGTAACCTCTAGTTATCCTATTTTTAAGCCATGACACCTAGGAACCTCTCCCTTATGAGTACTTAAGGAAAAGATGATCTGAAATTAACAAATCTCTCTAAAGAGAAAGATTGTAAAACAGTGTAAATTTAGTAAAATTGGGATTCACTGTTCATAGAACCAAATTATTTTTCCATTGAAAAGGAATTCCTTAAAAAATTGAACAACAAAATGAAAAGGCAATCTACTGAATGGGAGAAAATATTTGCAAATCATATATCTGATAAAGAGTTATACAAAATATATAAAGAACTCAAGTTCTTTATATAAGTCAATAGCAAAAAAAAACAACAACAAAAAAACAATTTAAAAGTGGGCAAAGGACTGAGTATACATTTTTCCAGAGGAGATATTCAAATGGCTGACAGGTAAAAGAAAAAGTGTTCAACATCACTAATCATCAGGGAAATGTAAATTGAAACCACAATGAGATAAAACCTCACACCTGTTAGAATGGCTATTGTCAAAAAGACAAGAAATATATGCTAGTGAGGATGTGGAGAAAAGGAAACCATTGTGTATTGTTGGTGGGAATGTAAATTAGTACAGCCACTATGGAAAACAGTATGGAGGTTTCTTTAAAAATTAAAAATAGAACTACCATATGATCTAGCAATTCCACTTCCTGGTATGCATCTGAAGGAAACAAAATCACTATGTCAAAGAGATATCTGTACTCCCACATTCACTGAAGCATTATTTATAATAGCCGAGACATGGAAACAACCTAAGAGCCCATTAAAAGATAAAAAGATAAAGAAAATGTGGTAATATATACACAATGGAATACTATTCAGCCATAGAAAGAAGGCAACCCTGCCATTTGCAACAACATGGATGGATTTTGAGGATGTTATACTAAGTAAAATAAGTAAGACAGAAAGACAAATACTGTATGACCTAACTTATATGTGGAACCTAAAAATAAAAAACTCAAAAAAAGATCAGATTTGTGGTTACCAGGAGGAACTGGATGAAGATGGTCAAAAGGTACAAACTTGAATTATAAGAGAAATAAGTCTCGGGGACGTAAATTACAACATGGTGACTATGGTTAACACTGCTGTATGGTATATTTGAAAGTTGCTAAGAATAAATCCTAAAAATTCTCCTAAGGAAAAAAATTTTTTTGTTAACAATATATGAAGTGATAGAAGTTAACTTATTGTGGTAATTTTGCAATTTACATACGTGAAGTCATTATGCTATATACCTTAAACTTATACAGTGCTGTTTATCAGTTATATCTCAAAGAAAAAAACCACTGGCAGAAATAAGTCTGATTCAATAGGTATTTTGTTTCATTTTTTAATTCTCCAAAGACTTCCAAATCATATCACGAAGCCTCACCTTAATATTTGGCCAAGTTGGTACTGAAAAAAGATCAGCCATTAAAAACAGGTTGTGACACTATTATTTTGAAAATGATTGAATTAGCAGCATATTCTTTATCAAGCTTACATGCCTCATCGACAAGATCCAATGCTCAGATGTAAGCAAAACTACTTACTTGACTAATTTGGTGAAGCTGTCACAGAAATAATGTTTCAATACATTATATAACACATAAGACAAATGAACTGTAAATTAAGAGCTGGAGATGTTAAAAACAATGCTGACAATAGCTTTTAAATTCCAACAAACACAACCTGAGCAACTCTTTCAAATAGTAGTGGCCTGTTTTTTAATTTTTCTTCTCTTTCTTCTAGTTCTTGTCGGTATTCTCTCATCCTTTCCTTTTCACTTTTTCTAAAATCAAATAAAAAGGAATAGAATTTTAAAAAGAAATAAGAACTTCCATATATAACGTTGAGTTCAGATGACAAATTAGAAATTAAATTATCAGCACAGTTTAGTTTATCACCATTCCTTTTCGAGATTGGTAAATTTTTATGGAATGCAGAATAAAAACACTAGGTTCTGAAAGCACACATTTTATATCCTGGGAGCAGTCTGGGTACTTTGACAGTTCTGAAATCTTTAAGATATTATGTATTAAGGGGCTTCAAACTGGCCTGAAGCGATGAATGAATGCCCTCTATCTCATTTATAAGTATATAAACCAAGAAAAATTAGTCCAAATTAGATATCTTCTCTTTAAGAAATTTCTGCTGAAAACAAGACCTTGCTCTTCTTTATTCCCTTAAATGAGATCTCCTATAGGTTGGTGGCAAAGTTAATGAAATGATAACAGGTCAGGGGAGAAATGGGGAGTGTGGGACTATAAACATATAGAGAAACAGGAACCAAATACATAAATTCACAGTAAATGTACTTATTGTGTAAGATCCTATAATGAATCCAACTATGCTATTTTCTCTATGTAAAATATACTAACTCTACCAAGATAATAAGATTTCATGGATTAGAGAAAATAATTATAATAAAAATGATAATTATGCTTAATTATGTACAAGTTGGTATTATGAAAAATCCCGTTAACTAAGGATGAATAGTATAATTATAAAGAATTTTTAGCTCAAGTTCATCAAATTAAGTTTCCTCCATCAATGAATCACATTGATACACATTATAAGGAACATATATAATATACATTGTAAAGGAATGTAATTATTATTATTTTTAATAAATAGTTAAAAAGAAATATTTGTAATTAAAAGCAAATATAGATTTTAGGGGCATTTATAGATTATATTAAAAATTAATAAATCATATTACTTACCTGGCTTTGTGGGGAGTTATTTTCCTACTTAAACATGAACATTTTTATGTTAATGTGCAACACAAAAATGTTCCTCTGGAACACTGATTTTCAAACTTTGTATTGAAGAATTCCAGCATTCTGTAAAGGGGTTCTGTGAATATTTTTATTTATTTATATTAAAAGTGTAACAAAATGCAACATATATACCACTAAACATTAACACACGTGTTAATCGACACATCACATAATTGATGTTAATTAACACCAATGTGTTAATTTGTGTCATCGGATTTCGTGCAAACCTTAGAACAAAGCTCTTTGACATATCTGTTTATTCAAGAATATTCTGAGGTTACGTGGCAAGATGTTAAAAAAGAGCTTTATCTGTATGGATCAAGATTTTTCTCAATATTATATAGCGCAATCAATAATATAAAGAAAAAGATTAGATGCTGATATATTAACTATGGCCACAATGTAAAACATTTCTGTTTAACATGGCTTCATTGCCCTCATCATCAGGTGTGTGAGTATGCATGTTGGTTCTCACCATGAGGTGAGTGAGTGAATGTGAGTGTGTGTGTCAGTGTGTGCTGAATGTAAGTAACTAATAGTAACTGGAATCCAGAAACTAAAATACTAATACTATTCTTAATCTGTTCATATATGTTGGTATATATTGATTAAAAAAAGAAAGTTTGAAAACCAGTGATCTGGAGGTTCAGGATTCTTTTGTGATACCTCAGAGATTTTATTCTGGATTTAGACATTTGAGCTAAACTTTGATGTGAGTCATAAGCCTTAGCCCGTGTTGTCAGGAGTTTCTGCAATTCTTTCATTCTTTGCTTCTGCTTAGTTAGGATCCGATTTCTCTCTTCTTCCAACATTTTCTTTTCCTCAAGTGATCTCCTGAGGGCAATAAACTAAGGCTTAATTCACTTTAAGCCAATGAGAATGTTGCTTAGCAAAGATTTAACACAGGATAATTCAAAGGATGAAAACGGCAACCTTTTGAGAAGGATCTGACTTGTGAAATTGGTAATCAATAGGCTGACTAAAACCTTTTCTATCCCCGAAGATTCATAAAATGGAAAATACATTTCTTAGAAGAACACCCTCTGGCAAAATGTCCTATATTATATAGTAAAATATATTACCAGATATAATAATTTCTTCATATTTTCAAAGTCACTGACATAAAATCAATAGTGCTGCATACACTATTTTAGCAACCATATGTCAGTTAGCAGTGTATCCTAGTTATTTACCTTGTGGCTTGTTCTCTTCCTCTGGAAGATACTGTGGGCATTGGAGGGTTGCAGTCATATGGCACACGCTTTGCACTTCCACTTCTTACTGGTGACTTGTGCCTTGGAGACAGATAAGGCCAACGTTTTTCTTTTAAATTTTCTTCGTCTGCGTCAATGTCTGCCAAAATTTTCTCTCTTTTAGTGGATGCAGGTGAGGCTGCATGAAGATCGGGTGGTTTACAGACTGTTAGGGGTTTTAGATACTTCTGTTCTGAGGGGTGTCTCTGATATCTCTCAGGAACATCTCCAAAATCAGCAGTCTGGCACCTAGCCTTGTGCTTACACTTCAACTTTTCAGCCTGTTCAGGACACTTGGACTTCCTTGCAGCAAAACTTCTGCGAGCTGGTCTACGAGGTAAAGGGGATGAATTAAGTAAAAGCTCTTGGGCTCTCAGCTGTGTCCTATTGTTTCTGTAGAGCTCTTCTTCTTTTAACCTGTCATTGGAAATTAAACCATAAGTAGATCGAGGTATAGGTCTGGCTTTAAATCGATTTGTTTTCTTTTTAGACTTAAAAAAGTCTCTCAGCTGCTTTTCTCGGATTGCTTGCTTTTGTTCCTCCCTTGCAATAAACTTAAATGGCTTTTGAGAGGCCAAAAGAGCTTCTTTATATTTCTCCTTCATAGTCTTTCTCCGTTCTTCATTTTGCTTGACTATATCATGATAAAGGGGGAGAAAGACAAATGCTGGAACTGGATTGGCTCGGAATTTTTTCTTACACTCTGAATCTTCTTCTTGTTTTTTGAGCAGTTTTTGTACCATTTCAATATCTGATTTAGATTTCATGTTCTCTTCTTTTTTCTTCTGTTCTCTAATCATCATTTGAAAAGGCTCAGGTACTGTAATCTTTGGCACCCATTCTTTAGGTTTCTTCTTTGTTTTTTCAACTGCCGGGAAGTTAGCATCTTCACACTGAATATAATCTTTAACAGAAAAGTTTCTCCACATGTTGTTGATGAGCTCCTTCGCATACGTCATCCTTCTGTTTTTCTCGGGATACGCCTTTTCTAAGTTGGGCAACTCATCTTCAGAGGAAGTCATAATCAAGGAGGAAGCATGACTTAAATCAGGCTCTGAAAGCGATGTTGTTAATGAGATAGGGTGATAGGAATTCTTTTCCAAGACAGACCTAAATGAGGGGAATAATTAGGTTACACTTTCAGTCGTATATGACCAAAAATAAAAATTAAGAATTATATATTTTCTTAGATCAAGGTATAATCAGAAGATAGGAGCTGGATAGGGCTTATAAAAATGATCACTTTTATTTAGAATAGAGCTGGAAGATGCTCATAAATTATCTAATTCAACACCCTCATTTTATAGGGGAAGAACCTGAGACAGCCAAGGCTCCTTGTGTCTAACCTCTGTTGAATTTATCCACGTTTTCTAGAGTCACATCTTAAAGCATACATCTGATCATGTCACTCCCCTTCTTGAAACTTTTCCATGATTTTTTACTGTTATGAAGTCAAGTGTAGATTATAAAGCCCTTCAAGATTAGCCCCTGCCTACCTTTTCAGTTCCACTTCTCCTCTCCCTATCCCTAGTCACCATTCTTAAGTCACATCCCTCACACACATCATGACTTTTCATGCCACCATGCCTTTGCACATGTGGTTTCTCTGCCTAGAAGGCCACTCCTTGCTTCCTGCATCTGCTGCAGCTATTCTTCCTTCAAAACTGAACTCAGATATGACTTCAGTAGAAAATTCCTGCCTGTGTCCCTCCACTGACACCTTGACATGATCAACTGCTTCTTGCTCTGTCTTCATAACACTGTTATACCATGTTGTATTGTAATTTTGGGTTCTCAGCTAGTCTTTGAGCTCCTTGAGGGCATCTTGATTTTGAGTCCTCAGTGTCCAGGTAAGGTCTGGCACACAGGAGGTGCTCATTCAGCACTGACCAAATAGATGAGTTAAAGGACTTGCCTCAAGTTTCAAAATAGAAGAGTTTATAGCAGAAAAAGAAATCGGTCTTGAAATTACAGACTATTTGGAAAGTTTGAATCAGATCTATGTTTTAGTCCTGAACTCTTTGTACTGTATCTTTAATGAGCTCATGTTAATCCACATATTATAAGGACTTTTAAATTTTAATATTCATAATTTAAAAATGGCCCAGACTAAATATTCTGCTACATGACTACAGTTCTATGAATGACAGATCAAAGGAAAAAGATCAAATGGACACAAAATGACCCTCAAAGCAAGAAGTCACCTAGTAGGTTGATGAACCATTAAACATTTTGAATAAAATCCTACCGTCATATATCATTCAAAGTATAAGGGGGAAAAAAAGTACAAGGGGGAAAAAAAGTATAAGGGATATTTGACAGAAAATATTCTGAAATAATTTTGTTCTGTACTTTTAAGTATACATTTTATTTTAGAGTCCACAAATAACATTATGTACAAACTTACATGGAAGAGACACTAGGCGCTTCTTCCCTGATGATTACTGGCTGAACTGCATTTAAATTTAATTTATTCTGGTACATTTTCTCTAACTTTGCCATAGTTTCCATGTGGGCAGCCTTCAGCTCTTCTAGTTTCCTGAAATATTCTTCATTAGAGTAGTAAATACCAGAAAAGTCCACGAGGTCTTTACTGCTTATATGTGTTCGATCATCCACTCCAGAAACGTTGGTGTTAAAATCAGCCTGATAGAAGGAAAAAACCTGTTATATGGTGTTTAGAATTGAAATGCAAATAAATTTGACACTGATTCCCAATGCTGCTGCTTATTTGTGGGCTTCATACATACACTAATGGATTATAAGTTACTTGTGGGCTATGCATTTTCCCCTAATGACATTTTATTAAGAACGAGAGAGAGAGAGAGAGAGAGACAGAGACAGACAGACAGACAGGCCAAGCTGCCAGAAAATAAATGCTATTTAATCCATTTTATAAAGAATGGTTAGATTCCCAGACTATGTACTAACCCATACACTATAACAGGATAGAACCAAACCATCCTTTATAAAGAGCCTCCTTCCAAATTCTAAGTTTTAACTGAAATGAAGAAGAACACAGTTCTTCCTGCTGCAAACCAAGCAACCAGAGCCCAATACCCTTGCCCAGCTGGACTTCTGCAGTATAGGCCCCAAGGGGGTCCCAGTGGAGGGAAGATAGGGGAAAAGGGGAATGAAGGCCGCAGAATGGAGGGAACAAAGTTCTCAGGGCTTATCAAGAAGCCAGGGAGATGTCCAGAACAGACCTGAAGAGGAAGTAGGAGGGTGTGGAAGGGGGTGAGAGGGACTGTCAGAACAGCCATTCCTGTGGGCCACAAGAGCAGGAGCTCCCCTATGTGACAGGAATTTTGGGAGTGAAAAGAGAACAAGAGTATTACAGTAACTACACATAGTGTAGTTATTCGATATACAGGTCATGCCTGGAAGGGGCTGACTGATCTTTCCTCATTCCTTTCATACACCTTTCAAAGTTCTTTCAATTGAAGCAACTGTAGAGGTAAAACCCCATTTTCTCCATAAATATAGAAATTTTAATATTTTCTCAGTTGAGAAACAGTTGAAGTTATTTATGAAACTACGCATAATAGGCTGCTGACCATGGTCTCAAATTTAGCCTACTACCTGAAGTAGACTCGAAATTTTTAAAAAGTGTATTTGCCATAGAAAATTATAGATCCAATCAGACAAGATACTATGAAATAAATCTGAGTAGCTTCTCCCAATGGGTAAATTCAGAAGGGTCAATTGTATGTAATAGTTATTGATATAGTGTTTTAAAAAATGGGCTAAAAACAGTGTACCAGAGGTGAGTGTTGTGCCATTTGGGGTAACTTAGAGAAAATGAATAAAGGAAATCAAGTTTTCTTCAGTAGAACTGCTGTGCAGAAATTTATTACCAACAAATCTATGACTCCAAGAATTGCTTTATTGTCGTACAACACAACCAAGATAACTTTCTGATGTCTTCTACTGTTTCTACATGTGCTCCTCACCACTCAGCTGTAGTGATGAATGCTTTGTTAAATTCCTCATTCATTAAATATTTAGGGACAACCAGTATTCAGTTAGATGCTGAAATATACAAGTCAGATAAAAACTCCACCTTTGAGAAGCTTCCAGCTAGTTTAGGAGAGGATGTGTACATAATCAACAACAGACTTTGAATAAGACAGAACTCCTGATTCCTGCCTATGAGCTGCTCCAAGCTGAGCAGGGAGAGAGATGAGTGACCACGTATGTTACAGTATCAATCACCAAGACTGGGAGTGGCGGGGGGAGAAGAGGCAGAATTTACGAAGATGAGCTAGACTGGAGACATAAGGCTGGATGACAACAAATTTTGTCAGATAAGGGATGCAGTGAAAAACAAAGAAATCTGAGGCACAGTGCTAGAACATTCATCATATGTTACCACATGATGATGTAACTGGCAGGTACTCTGTTCTTGATGAGGAAACTGAAGCTTGGAGATTTAGGTGACACATTTGCAATCACATAGCTAGTAACTACTAAAGCTGGGATTTAATTCAAATCCCGTGTTAGGTTCCAAAGACACACCACACTCCTCTCACGGGCAGGAAGGGTTTTTGTTTGTTTGTTTGTTGTTTTTTTGCCACAAGAGGAAGGAACAACCATGGTGTGCTCAGAGGGAGGTAAATAGTCTGAGTAGGGGTGGGGAACAGGGCATATGGAGCACAGGAAAGGATAGGAAAACAGATGAAGAAGGCAAGTCAACAGCCTCAACTAAGAGCCCAAGGGATGTGAGCAGAGGAGTGACATGATCAGTAATATTCAGAAGGATTCTTCTGGTAGCAGATAGAGTTTAGTGAAGGAAGAAAGGTTGGTAGCAGTAAATGAACTACTGCAAAGGTCTGAGATAGATGTATTAAGGGCAGGATTAGTACAGCAGCATCAAGGAGGCTGCCTTGGTAGATTTAGGAGGCTGATTCATGTACTCGATAATGGCCTGGATTGTGGGCAAGAAACTGAAGACTTTCATTTGGAGTGCTGCCCATCTAGGTAGATGGTGCTGCTACCATTCATCAGTATAGAGAATACAGGGAAGGAGAGTGTTTTAGGAAAAGGAAATGCATTTCTCTTTTAGACGCACTGAGTTTGAGGGGATAGTAGGACAGCCAAATGTCCAGGAAACAGGTGGTAAATATATTTGGAGGCCTGGTAAGAAGGCTGGGCTGAAGATGGTGATATGGGAAAGATGCACACAGAAGTGGCAGGTGCATCCTTGGATGTACCTGCAGAAAGTGTGGGCAATAGGACAAGAATCTGAGGACGGAAGTGTTGGCCAACATCAACATTTAAATAAGCAGCAAGAGGAGGTAAGTATATTTAAAGGACGGGAGCTTTTGTTTGGTTTGAGTTTGTGAGATAAAGGAAGGCTTCCTTGAGCAGGTGATATTTGAGCTGAATCAAGAATGGAAGAATCTAGAGGAACAGAGAGAGTATAGGGGGAAAGAAAGAGAAAGTACTCTGGACAAAAGAAATGACATTAGCAAAAGCTGCAGTGGTGGGGAGCATGTTGGAGAATAAAGTGACACAGTTGGAGGGTAAGAGGAGAATAAAATGCATAAGGCAATTTTGGGAAGCAAGGCTGGAAAAGGAGGTTATGGCAAGCAGGAAGTGGTTTCCATTTCTTGTGCTATTCACTGGTTACCTGGTTTCAGCTGCCTTAAAACCGTTAGAAAATGAAAGGGTTGAATAGAAGTTAAGAGTGTTTGGAGTGTTCAGTTTGGAGTGTTCTTACGGCTTAGGAGAAAGATTACAGTCTCAGAATTATTCAAGCCTGTACTTCTTAGTCATGTGACATGGGCCCTAACCTTTTTAACATCAGCTTTATGATATGTAAAGCAAGTGTGCCAGTATGTTAAACTATTGTCTCTCAGCTCCAATGCCACCCTTCTGTACCCTGCAATGTGATGCTGGGGATGGGACTCTACAAACCATATTTGTGCTTTGCCAGCTGCAACCCATTAGACTCTGCCAAAAGTGGGGCTAGAAGGAGACCGCAAGGCTGGAGTAGAAAAAAGGGACCTACTCCTTCCTGTTAGTTCTCTGTCTGCTTGTGTCACCCCTGAGCAGCAACAGTTCATTCTAGTAGCAGTGGCTGATTCTAGTTTGCTGTTTTTCCAAAGCTCACAGCATCAGCAAAATCACCTCAGGACCTTAGCACATGCTGTTCTCTCTTTATTCAAATGTTATCTCCTCAATGAGGTCTTCACTGACTACCCTAACTGAAATTATAACCTCGTCCCCAACTCATTGTCAGCATCCCTTTTCTTCTTTAAGTACTCACCACCCACTGATATTCTACAGATCTTTACTTATTTGTGTACTGTATGCCTGCCCCTACCAAAAAGTAAGCGTCACAAAGGCAAAGGCAAGGATTTGTCTTTGTTCACAGTTTGTTCTCAGTGCCTAGAAAAGTGCCTGGCCAAAGGCAGATGCTCAATACATATTTGTTGGATGAATGAATGTACAGCTAAAAAAATAGTAAGTTTCCACCAAGACAAGAGGACAGGTATTCCCTCACAAAGGGCTGAATCATTCAAAGAAATACTGACTGCTCTAAAGAGGTATATATTCAACCAAGTATTAAGGAAAGGGCTTATTTTCCAAAACATATAACTAAAACAAGGAAGATATGCCAAAGAACTGTTTTTAGGCAAAAGCATCCATATGCTCCCTATTCATTCTTTTAGACCATCCCTTAAAAGAAGGCTTTACAACAATCATTTACACAAAAAGGATAAAATTTGTTTGGACCTGGAAAACTGTTTGAAAAAGATATAGAAGGATGAGTAGCTTCTGAAAAGATGTGGAAGGTCTAATAATTTAACTTATTCACTGACTTTTGACAGTATCCATTCCATTTCCACTTCCTACTGTTAACACTAGCCTGACCTTTTCAGATAAACTGATCCCACAGTGTTTTACCTAAAACAGATGAATGGTTAATAAGGAACTTCTAACTCTTAATTTCATTTTTAATTGTCTCCACACAGAAGAAAATATTTTAGTAGATCAAATAACCTTCCCCTTTAATTGTTTGGCTTTTTGTGGAATGTTGTACACGTAGCCACTAGATTAGAGGATAATCTTCCCTAGATTGGCTTGACCCATTTAGATGATGACTTCTTCCAGCACATGTGCTTCATTAGTGATCAGCGCTTACAATTATTTGTGGTATTGTCTTTCTGTATCATCTGCAATTCTGGAATTTTTATTAAAATTTTTTTGTTTAATTGTTTGGCTTTTTGTGGAATGTTGTACACGTAGCCACTAGATTAGAGGATAATCTTCCCTAGATTGGCTTGACCCATTTAGATGATGACTTCTTCCAGCACATGTGCTTCATTAGTGATCAGCGCTTACAATTATTTGTGGTATTGTCTTTCTGTATCATCTGCAATTCTGGAATTTTTATTAAAATTTTTTTGCATTGAAAGGATTCATAAGGAATGAGGTAGAGCTACATGTAAACCCCCAATAAATGATAAGAGAAAAAAGCAACATGCAGAACAGTATGTATATACAAAATGTTACCATATATTAAAATATTATGTACACAAGAGACAAGAAAAGCCCAGAAGAATATACATCAGTTTCAAAACAGTGGCTACCAATGGTGGGTAGGAGGGACCTAGACTTTCTTTTTGCTGGAGAGGTGTTAAAAGAGCCTAAGCCTTATTTGTAACATTTGAAATTTTAAAAGGAGAACGTGTTCATGTATTACTTCCATAATTAAAATATAACTAAAAAAAAAAAAAAAAAAGAATGTTTTGTGAATATTACTAAATTAAAAACTGATCAGTTTCTAATGACTAATTGGCTTTCCTGGCACCTCTCCCTGTTCCTTCTGGAAGGTAGCTCTGACACTCCCCAGCAAAACTACTTTCCTTTTCCTTGCTCTTCTACCTGCTCCAATCCCTACCCGCCAACTGCCCATGATAACTCTTTTATTTCTTTAAAAAAACCATTGGCGGGAGTTCCCTCACCCTCCCATCTACGAAACTGCCAGCTCTTGTGCCCCTTTTCCTTTCCTCCTGCATCAGAGATGAAATGTCCCTTCTCTTAGCAGCATTTGACCCTTTCCCTCATTAAAACCAATGAATGGGGGACTTCCATACTCTTGTGATAATCCTTTTACCACTGTAGTTGGCCCTTAATCTCTTTTGTCTCCTTTTTCTCTACCTGTTAAATGTTTAGGTTTTTAAAGAGTTCTATACAAGGCCCCTTTCTCTGCACTTTCTTCCTCCTCTGATTCTCCCTAAGTGATTTTATCCATTCCCATTGTTTCAAAAATGCTGAAATCTCCCAGATAGAAATCTCCAGTCCAAATCCCACAGGACTACAGTTTCATAGACCCAACTGCTTCTTATACATTTCCATTTGGTAGTTTCATAGGCATCTCAAAGTTATGTTCAAAACTGAAATGTTGATTCTCATCCAGCCTCTAAACCCACTCCTCCCCAAGTTATACCCAATTCAGTAAGTGGCATTACCTTCCATGCAGCTGGTCAAACTTAAAACCTGGGAATGAGCATTCTTTATTCTTCTTCCTTGGCCTTCACATCCAATCTTTAACAGTAATTCCTATCTATTCAAAAAATCTGTACACTTTTTATCATTTCCCCTGGATGGTAGGTCCACGCCACTGAATTATTATAACAGCCTCCTAACCAATCTCCTTACTTATGTTTTGTTAGACTTGCTATTCATTCTCCACAAAGCCATCGGAGTCCTTCTTTTTAAAATATAAATAGGTACATAACTGATTTCTTAAGTCTTCAAAGACCTCCCACTGCACCTACAATAAACACTCAAGGTCTATGGGGCCCTGCTTGCCTCTCCAATCTCATCTCCTCCCCTCTCTCTTTCTTCCCCTCTTTTCCAGTTCTGCTGGCTTTCACATCCTGATCACACAAAGCTCTTCCTTTCCCTATCTTAAGGTCTCTGCATATGCTGTTACCTCTGCCTGGAATGCTTTTCCCATCCCACTCTTCAAATGGCTACTCGTTCTCATCTATCAGTCATCGACTTAAATGTTAACTCATTTAAATAGCTTCCCTCCTACTACTTTTTAAAATCATAGTAACCTGTTCATTTCTTTCCCAATATTTCCCATCTTACAATCATCTGTTTTTTATTATCTAACCTCCCCACCAGACTGGAAGCTCTGTGATGACATGAGCTATGTCTGCGTCATTCCCCACTGAATAGTCAGTGACTAGCACTTAATAAATGCTCAATATTTGATGAAAAAGAGAAGGCCACTTATTAGGAAAGTCAGTGACATTTTAACTGTGGATTATAGAATACTTCTTTACCCATATCATCATCAACTACATAACAATGCCTATGAACTGATATCTCCAACTGAGGCTAAATTCAAAGAACTTGCCTCAGTGCCCAACATGGGCAGAGTCCTGCAAGGGGTGGGGGTTGGGAGCTTCGGCAAACCAAAGGACTGAAAGGGACCTGGGGGCCTACTGTGACAGCTGGTTCTCTAATCAATTTTGTGTGGTGGGTATGGTATCTGAGTTTGCTACATTTTATAGATGACAAAGTTGAGCCAAATTAACCTTTAAAGATCAAGGTGGAGACCTAAGCTTTTCAGTGTCCTTTTTCCCTACCCCAGTATCCTCTGGCTATCAGGCAATAAGTGGCAGCTTATCCAGGTTTGCTTTTTGGATCCTGTAAGTGTGGTGGTCTCAGAACAGTGTCATATTTATACAAATTAACCTCCTTTATTTTTTGATAGGATCTTGTTTGAAACTAATTCATTAGATAAATTAATCTCTCCTAAGGTAATAAGTTTCTAACACAAATCTGCAGTTTAACAAAGCATTCTGGAAGTACTGCAACTATAGAAATGACTGACTCCTCTACTCCCAAAGTAGGATTTAATCTTTGGGTAGGTTGTTCAAATGACAGTCCTGCTGGCAATAATTATTATTATTATTAATTTATACTAACTGTTCTTTAGCTATGACACACACTCTTTGATTTGATTCTCATAACATACCAGTGAGGCAAGAATGAGAGACAATTATAGTGCCTTTACAGATAAGGAAATTGAGATAGAAAGAAGTTACATCTTAATATCATCTAGCAAATGGCAGAGAATGAGTCATAATCTAGGACTCCAAATCCTTTTTCTCCATTCAAATCTTTTTCCTCCATCATTCTGTCTCCTTTGTTGGCTATTGAAACTTGTGTAGGGGACACTTTATCATGAATGAAATTGGTCCTACAACTCTCACTCTGGTTCATGTGCAGGGTCTCAATCTGCCTTACTCTGGATAACCTTAAGTAGTTTATGTCTGTTGGTGAAATGCTGACCATAAAAGGTGTCGCTACAGATTTCGTGATTAACAGTTTTAGTGTAGATTAAAGAGATTAAATTCCAAAATATCCAGTGATTTCCATTAGCGCTAGACCATAACGTTTTGTGTCTGAGAGGCTTGGACAAATGCCATTAAGACTCTTTAACTGGGGGCAAGGAGGTTTATATCTGCAGATTGACAGTTAAAATCCAAGGTTTCTATATTTTAAGAGAATAGAACAGATGGCAGACTCTCCGTCTACCTGGTGGACAGGTGTTCAGAACACATGTGACACTGAAAAATGATCAGTGAAAAGGCTATCCCACCCCACCCTGAAGAGCCATTTAGAAAACATGGGGTCCTCAGTAATTTGCTTCTCTAGATGCTTAACTATATCTGTTTGATCTATCCACTGAACTCTTGATGGTTTTAAAAATCGCCTTTTAAGCATCGTGTTATCAGATGCACTGATAACCAAGACCTTAAGGTGACAACAAAACACACCTCTGACAGCACCGTTGATTCACCTGAGTTTTATGGACTATCCTCTACAGGTAGCTCAGTCTTCCCCAAGTTAAAAAGGGAATATCTACTGACAGATGCTGGAGCATAAGGAGTAAAGTTCTGTACTTTGCACTCTCTAGTCTAAATATAGTAAATGCTCTCCAAGAAATTTTTACAACCTCTTTGGGGAAAATTAAAACACTTCAGCGCTTCGGTTTTGAGTTTTCCGTGAGGACACAGAGAAGGTGGTGGGGCCAGAATTACCAGGTAGGGAGGATCTGGACAGGGCGCCGCGTTTCCCAGCACGTCGCTCAGCCCAGCGGGGACGCTCAGCCCTCAGACAGCACGCAGCCCCAGCCCGCGTCCGGCCCCTACATTACCGGCGCCCGCGCCGGCCGCACCGCCGCCTCCTGCTTTTCCTCTTCCTCCTCCAAGACCGCCGCCGCCGCCAGAGCTTCTAAGGGGTCTTCGCGTTCGTACTGGGCGACCCGCGCTCCGGTGATGGGATCTACCGGGATTTGGAGACTGCTGGCCGCCAGCTTCGCCGCTCGGTGAGAGGCGGCCATCACCTCGCCGCCGAGGCCCGAGCGCCCGCGCTGGCCCAGGGCGGAGAAGCCGGCGCGGCCTCAGGCTACTCAGCGGCTCCCTGCTTGGGGCGGGGGTTACTAGGGGTACGGTAACTAGGGACGCTACAGGGGCCGCGAGGGGCCAAAAGTCACTCAAAATCCTCTCACGCTGCGGGAGAGTCAAGGCGGGTGCCTCCTGGATAGAGGGAGTTAGTGGTCTGTGCTGGTTTAGAGGGTTAGCCCGGCAGAAGAGGGCACCTCTTCCCCAGCTTCGCGCCTCACCGCGTAAACACAGACTTTGCACATCATACTAGTGAAACAACTTGATTTGTGAAAAAGAAAAAAAAGCGCCTTTTCATTCATTGAAATAATGTTCGAAGGAGATGGCGGTGGCAGAGGAAAGCAGGGGATGCTGTTGTGTGGCAGCCTCAGAACTGTGGCAAGGTTTGCATCTCGCTAACATGGCTCCCCCCGGAGCCAGAGAATGGAAAGGAGTACAGTACATTCTACTCTGATTGACATGAGCTACCAGAAATCTACCAATCCGAAGGAGGCTACTAGAAACGTTTTTTCTTGCTCTGACCAATAAAAGCCCAGAGTTGGGGAAGCCTGGCCCACCCACCAGTGAATGACAATACAGGTGTATGAACCCGGTGTTTGCAGCTTGAGTTCATCAACTTTATAGTGGTTAGCACTGGAGGGCGCGCGCGCCGAACTGTAACCACAGACATACTCCCTCTCCCCCTTACCCTGTCAACATTTCTCAATGGCACCTTCCTTCTACTCCACGTGGCTGTTAAGGCTCAGCCTGAGAATTGCAAGCATGTTGCTGTCACAGCTACCTGCTACCTAACCCCTACTTTCTGAGGCTGACGAAACTCTCTCCCCCGCCCCCTCACCCCAGCCTCCCGCCTCCTCCTGCCCCCGGCTCTACAACCGGCATGGTCACCATAAAGCTACGGTATGCTGTCTGGAATCCATCTCTAAGGGCTGAGCCCTTCTTGCCAAGCCTTTCTCGTTCGCAGGTCTGGAGTGTGAGCACCTGCAAAACCCCCACTCTCCATCTCCTTCAGGTTTTTTGAGCTGAAATTTGCTTCGCACACTGAACCGGCTCGATTCTGAGCAGAATCCAGAGTTAGAAGCCCGTGAGGTATGGACGCCCCAAGCGACCATAGGAGAGACTTCCATTCATTCACATGCAGCTGATTCTCTTGAGATTTGGTGTAAGCTCATCCCCAAAACAGCAAGACAGGTCTACATGTTGAAGCACTGCAAAGCGATGACTAGGCAAGAGTAGAATAGAATAGAATAGAATAGAATAGAATAGAATAGGACAGTTGTCTATGTGTGTAGAAGAGCTGAAAAGTTTCCATTTACCAGCAATATTCTAAACTTGCAGATATCTAATAACATAGCCTCAAAGTATATAGAACAGAAATGGACAAACTTACAAGAAAATGACATCTTAAATCATCATAGGAAGAATTATTTTTGCACTTTTGTATTGAGATGTAACATATACAAATGAACAGATCTTAAAATATGGTTGGATAAATTTTGATAAATGCCTTCACTCATGAAAGCATACTATTACGATATAGAACATGTCCATCATCCCGGAAAGATCCCTTGTGTCCCTTCCCAGTCTATTCTCCATTCCATCCCCTTCACTGTTCTAGAACTTCATATAAATGGAATCATCAGTATGTACTTTTTGCTCCCAGCTTCTTTTGCTTGGCATACTTTTTTTTTTTAGATTCATCCATGTTGTATATATCCGAGTAGTCTGTTGTTCCTTTTTAATTACTGAATAGTTTTATTTGCTGGAAGAGATAATTTTCCAACACTGGAGGAATTTTCCTCATTTTGTTGTGCTATTTATAATGTGAGTTACAGACAAGGCATATTCAATCTACATTATTTACATTGTCTTTATCACTTTCTTAAGTTTATCCATTCACCAGCTGGTCACTTGGTTTTTTTTTTTTTGGCTGTCATTTTGGGTCCTTTAGAAAGCAGACATCAAGGAGTTAGAAGTGCAAGAGGTTTGTTGGAGGAAGTCCTGCGAAAGATAGAGGGAGAGAAGTAGGAAAGTCTTCGTGCCAAATTTGACACCTTAGAAGGAAAGGGAAAATAATCCAATTTAATAACCAAGGGGGAAAAAAGAAAGTAGGAATACAGGAATAAGCACAGGAATTGAATGTAAGAAATTAAAGGAATGTGCAATAGAGAAGACTTGGAGAAATGTCTATTCACGTGCTTTGCCTGTTTTTGAATTGGGTTAACACTTTACATATTCTGGATTTATCAGATACGAGATTTGGAAATATTTCCTCCCTTTCCAAGGGTTTTTTGCTGTTCATAATATCTTTTGATGCACAAAAACTTTTACTGCCAAATCTAATGTCATGAAGTTTTCATTTTACCTGAATTTTGCCACTTAGATCTTTGATCCACTTTAATTTTTGTGTAGTGTTAGGTAGAGGTCCAACTTCATTCTTTTGTGTGGACATTGTTTTCCCAGCACTGTTAAAGACTGGCCTTTCCCCATTGAATGGTCTTGGCTCCGTTGTGAATAACCACTTGACTATATATGTGAGGGCTTATTTCTGGGCTTGCCATTGTTTTGGAAGTCAGTCTTGAAAATAGGAAGTGTGACTCTTCCAGTTTTGTTCAATATTGTTTTGGATATTCAGGTTCCCTTCAGATTCCTTATGAATTTTAGGATGGGGTTTCTTATTTCTAATGTGTTATTGGGATTTTGATATGGATTGTATTGAATCTGTAGATCGCTTTGGATAGCACTGGCATTTTACAAAGTCTTCCAATCCACAAACATGGATGTTTCCACTTGTCATTTCAGCAGTTCTGTAGTTTTCATTGTGCAAGTCTTTTACCTCATTGGTTAATTATTGTTATTCTTTTTGATACTATTGCAAATGGAACTTTTATAATTTCCTTTTCAGGTTGTATAAAGATGCAACTGATTTGTGTTGACTTTGCATCCTGTTTTGCTTAATTTATTAGTTCTGACAGGATTTTTTGAGCATTTTTAGGGCTTTCTACAGTTAATTGTGAATAAATGATAAAAGTTCTAATATAATTTGTATTAGAGAAGTATTTTGACAAGTTTTTAGGATGTACCTCATTCGTTTTACACAGCTAAAAACAAAACCAAACCTTATTTTACAGTGAGCATCTAATATCCATTAAAAAGGGGAGACAATAATCTGAATTACTAAATTTTAGACAATCCACAAATAGGTATCTAAGCATATTAAGAATTTACCATTTACCAAATCAGTTATTTTGAATTGTCAGATACAAAGAAAAGCTTCAGACTGGTTGGCTGACATTTTCCACAAATGTGGAGAGCCCCAGTTGCTTTTATAACAGTCCTTGTGAAATACAGAAGAGTGGTACCAGATTTTGTAGGCCCAATGTATGGTCCACCTCAAATCTGGCCTTTATTCAAAGGCAATCAGAAGCTGTAAAAGCTTTTACAAACTGGAGTGCCTGGCAAGTTTTAAGAAGTCACTAGCTACAATGTGTGCAGAACTGACAGAAAGAGGCTGAAGTGAGGACAGAGATTAGATTTTATACTATACATGGTGAGAGATGATGCTTGATCAGGGTAGAAGCAATGTTTAAAACCACTGAAACAAGACATGTCAGTTAAGATTCCCTTTTGTATAAATAACATTTGCTACATGTATGCATACTTTTATTTGTAGAAGGAATCCCAATTAACACAACTATGGTTATTCTTAGAAAAAGGGATTAAGATTATAGAGGGAGTGTTTCATTTTTCACTTTGTATCTTTCTATACTGTTAACTTTTCAAACAGCATATACATTACTTTGGTATTTTTATGTAAGTTGGATTTATCAGGGTAACAAATATATTAGGCCATTATTTTTCTTGTCATGTTTAAAAAAATTTAACATTTAAAGTACCCAGGATAAAGATCCTAAAAAAGTCAACAGGTAAATGTGAATCCATTTTCCACCCGCTTCTTATATGTCTTTTTCAAGAGTATTTGAAATGTTGCTGGGGGAAGGGGTAATAAAGTAGTCCACCTTTTGAAACCAAATATTTAATATTTTCATTGAATTGTGTCAATAAAATTTCAAACAACTGCCAACTTGGAAGACCAGGCCCAGGAAATCATAGAGGATACACTCTTCCAAACATAAGGAATGCCAGTGAGTGATCTTCTACTCCAGATGCACTATAGTGGCCATAATTGTGCCAGGTGGCCAGCGTTATCCAGATTACCGAGTGTTTACCTGACAAGAGAAAAATTTGAATTTCAAAAACTGTAAACGACAGAACTTTAAGGATGGAAGACATTTAAGTGAATTATCCAAATCATCTATTTTTACAAGTGAGAAAAAGACTGTAATGAACTTTTATTACATTGATGACCAGCAAACTAACATTTACAGACCCCTACCCACAAAACCTCTAAAAAAAAATCCCTTTCTGACCTTGTAAGAAAATTCACAATCTATATATACTTACCACATCATCAATTTTCAGAATACTCCGGACAGTTTCAGTTGCTAAAGTCAGTGCACTAACTGAAACCAACAGAGGCTGGACAACCAGTTCCTCCAAAATGTTGGAAATACCACCCTGAAAATTAGCACAAATTACTTTTAGTATTTGAAATTATACACATCACCAACTACACTGTTACCAGTATGACTCAAGGCCTTACAAATGCAGTTTTCTCTTGGTCTAGTCAAGAGTAAGATACTCTACTAAGTAAGCTTTTCACTATACTGTAGGTTGAATTTCAATTACAATTTGGAAAAAAATGATTTAATGCTGGAGCCTCCCAATCCTAACTCCAAAACAACTCGTATATATCTTTAATTTAAAAATAACCTGGCAAAAATTAGGTAGATGATCATGGAGATTAAAAATTACTAGATCTTTGATGCTCAAATCTCTGAATCCTAATTCTGAATATGGCCAAGTCTGGTCTGCTCTGTCTTTCCAACTCTCTCAAATTTTCACTTTGAAATTCTTATCGCCACTATCCTAGGATTACTTTTCCCAAGGATTACTGTTGATGGCCATAACAAGCAACCCTATCTCCTGGCTTTCCTCCTCAAAAAATACTCTTTTCATCATCTTAGCTTCTTGGTTAAAAAAACTTCAGTGGCTTCCAACTACTGGAATTAAAAAAAACGCATACTTACCCGAAAACTCAAGGGCCCTCAAATTTTAGGTTTTATCTGAACTTTCCAACCTTTAAGTCTACTGTATCACCAACATAAAACCTCTGCTCTAGAAAAAATTAGTAACTTCTTGGTCCCTCTCACCTGTAAAACCATTTGCTTTCCCATCTGAAATTTCCTTATTTCCTACCAACCCAAACTGCATCTTCATAAAGCTTTTGCTAAAACTAGGTAGTACCCTCTTTTAGAGTTCTGTACTACTAAAAAAATATCACCTTGGATTGTTATTTTTTACCCATTAATTATTATTTCTCTCAATAAAAAGAGACATTA